TAACATTTAGGGTGAGTATTGAGATATGTTTTGTACTTCCATCCATATTTGTTTATTTATGTTACTTAAAATGATTTGTTTTTCCTCTTTGATTAGTTTTTCCTTTACTGTACTACCACCTCCCGCTGTTGGTTTTCATTGTTATTTTTCATTTCCTCTTCCTGTAATGTTTTGCCAAGGCTGTTTTGAAGAGCTGGTTTTCTAGCTGCAAATTCTCTTACCTTTTGTTTATGGTGGAAGGTTTTAATTTCATCTTCCATCCTGAAGCTTAATTTCACTGGATACATGATTCTTGGTTGGAACCCATTTTCTTTCAGCATTTGAAATATGTTGTTCCAGGATCTTCTAGCTTTCAGAATCTGTGTAGAAAGATCAGCTGTTATCCTGATTGGTTTACCCCTAAATGTAATCTGCTTCCTTTCTCTTGTAGCTTTTAAAATATTCTCCTTATTCTGTATATTGGGCATCTTCATTATAATGTATATTGGTGTGGATCTCTTATGATTTTGCACATTCGGCATCCTTTAGGCTTCTAGGATTTGGAATTCTGTTTCATTCTTCAAGTCTGGGAAGTTTTCTCGTATTATTTCATTGAACAGATTGCTCATTCCTTTGGTTTGGACCTCTATACCTTCCTGTATCCCAATAACTCTTAAGTTTGGTCTCTTTATGTTATCCCATATTTTTTGGATGTTCTGCTCATGGTTTCTTAACCGTCTCACTGAGCTGTCTATGTTCTTTTCAAGTTGAAATACTTTGTCTTCATTGTCTTATGTTCTATCTTCTAAGTGTTCTACTCTGCTGGTAATACTCTCATTTGAGTTTTTAATTTGGTTTATTGCTTCCTGAATTTCCAGGATTGTTTTTTAATAACCTCTATCTCCCTGTATTGTTGATCTTTTGCTTCTTGGATTTGTTTATGTAATTCATTATCAAAGTGATCTTTCATTGTCTGATTTTGCTGTCTAATGTCTTCCTTGAGACTCCAGATCATCTGAAGCATGTATATCCTGAATTCTTTATCTGACATTCCATCTGCTGCAGATATTACCTCTTCTAAAGTTGAGTTGACCTGCATTGCCTGTGGTCCTTTCTTTCCTTGTCTTTTCATACTGCTCACGTTTCTTTCTGCTTTGTGAAACTGTTGTGTTATTGATTTTCCTCCTATATATTTATATTGCTCTTGTATAGTTCCAAAGTCTCCCTTTTGTGGAGAAAGATAATGTTAACAGTTCCCAATACCAATAGTACATCATCTAAGCATACATTTTCCTTATTACTACATTTATAGCTAGACTCTATGTCTACAAATGTTGGTTTTTATTATCATTTACAAATATAATCATTAGTTTCATGAAAGGCTTACCATTTCTGGTAGCATGAAGAAAACTGAATTTCAGATGTAGAATGTTATGTTTAGGGGGAAAGGAGTGAGGGTATGGGGTTAATCTAACAGTAACTTTAGAGAGCTCTAAACAATAGATGGGTAATTTATGGAAGAATGTATAGATTCAAACCCCTATCTGTATTTATAAGATTACCCTACTTATAAATAGTAAAATTTAGGGGGTTGCAAGTAGGATAGAGGGAGTAAGAAGGAGAAAAACAAATAAAAATGAAAGAAAGAAAAAATGAGAGCAGGAAAAAAAATAAGAGAAAAAAGAAAAGAAATAAAAGGGGGAAGGGAAGTGGGGCATATGCAATTCCTCTATATTATATTATTCTGGTGATTCAGTTGTTAAAGACCTTTTTCATGCACAATTCTTGGTTTCACATATGTTGAGGTTGCGAGGACCAGAGGGGGAAGGGTAGAGGAGACTGGATGAATGGATGAAAAGAAAGAGAGAAGAGAAAAAAGAAAAGAAAAATGTCTCTCAGAACTCTGTTTTATTTTCTTTAGTAGGTGGCGTTGTCTGTTCCTAGCTTGAGTCTCTGTGTTCAGGGTGGTGGTGGTAGTCAGTGTGAGAGGACTTGAGCTTCCACCTGTGGCCTCGCTAATCTTATTCTCTGAGATGTAAACCAGGTGCCTGATCCGCTGCAGAACGGAGCTGGTAGCCACACCCACCCGTTGATGGATTTTAAGGGTTGGTGCGATTTTCCAAGATGAGTTCCATCAGTTTTTCTCATAAGGTGTTTGATGAGGTGGGGGTGTTGGGGAGACCTTATGTTTGTCCAGAGCTTGGTCTGGTGACCGCACGGGCGGGCGGCTGGGCCCCTCCTCCAGTTGGGGTGGTCTGCCTACCACACGGATGGGGTGCTCTGTCTACCACGCAGGTGGCGGCTGGGCCCCTCCTCCAGTTGGGGTGGTCTGTCTACCCCGCAGGTGGGCGGCTGTGCCCCCTCTCCGTGCTGCATGGTCTGCCTACCATGCAGGGGGGAGGCTGGTAGTTTTTTGGGGGTTTTTTTTGTTGTTTTTTTAAGAAAATACTTCAGTATAGCTCAAGAGCTTTCAGAGGAGAAAAAGAAACTAAATTGAGAGGTAAAATTTTTTTTAAAAATCCTTTCAAAGCTGGTTGTTGTAGCATATACCTGTAATCCCAACAACTCAGGAGACTGAGGCAAGAGGTTTCTAAGTTTGAGGTCAGCTTTGGCATCTTAGCAAGATTCTGTCTCAAAATAAAAAATAGAAAGGACTGCAGATGTAGCCCAGTGGTACAGTGCCCCTGTGTTCAAAACCCAGTACAAAAAAAAAGAGAGATACTTAGGAAAATTTTAAATGGATATAAATATATATGAAATATATATATATATATATTGCATATATATTTATATTATTATATCAATGATATATATATATATACATCAATGATAAAGTACTCTTGTGTTCAATACACAGAATGGCATACACACACAAAAAAAAATTCTCCATATATTGTTGTATAATGCTGATCATAAATATTTACAAGGAATTGAATGATACTAAAATAAAATAATCTAAAAGCACTTTCAGTAATATTTTTAGATTTTAAACCAATATGCTTTTAAGTACTTGCAAATTATTTATACTAAACAACTAATATCCATCTAGAGGCAAAACCATTTTGGATACTGACCTTCAAATTTAGCAACCTTTCTGCTATCTCCATTGATGGCCTTGTTCCAATTTCACTTCCAAGTTTAACTCCAACTTAAATTTGAATGTACTTTTAATGAAGACTAATTGCTCTACATCTTCCACCTTTCACTAATATCCTCATAGCTTAGGAATCCCTTGAAGCAGAATGAACTGCAGTCCATTAGGGTTAAGTGGTCAACAATAAAGATATCAATTTTCTATAAACCCATTACACATATGTATTTCGATTTTGTAAACTAGATTCCAGAATTTAAACATTGTGAGGTATCATAACCAGTAACCAACAGTGCAAAATACTATTCCATCAACCAAAGCTATAAGATAAGGGTTAATATAACTAGGGAAAATAAGGCCTGTACTATGAACAAGATGGGGGTTAGTGGAAATCCTGGTGCATTGTAACTAGCATACTTACAGGTAAATTGATTTGTATACATTCTTTTTATTTATTTATTATTTATTTATTTTTAATTTATAGATGACAGCAGAATGCATTACAATTCTTATTACACATATACAGCACAATTTTTCATATCTCTGGTTGTAGACAAAATATATTCACACCAATTTGTGTCTTCATACATGTACTTTGGATAATAATGATCATCACGTTCCACCATCATTTCTAACCCCGGGAGGTGGCATGGAGTTAGAGATGTATACTTTCTTTCAATATCGGTTTAATTTTATCCTTTAACTACCAGAGCTGTCAATGGTTTTAGTTTGCACTATAGATTTTAAAGAGTGAGGGACATCTTTGAAACTTTTTACAAATGTAAACCAGATCATGGAATGATATGTCATTGTCCATAAAGCACACACTAGATAAATCATACCAACTTTTCAATTGAACACAACTATCAAAGCTGGATGAAGTATAAAAACTATCTTCATAAAGACATCAGAAAACTTTAAAAAGAATGAAAAATTAGATAGTGTGGAGTGAGGGTAGAGGGGACAGAAAATGAGACCATTACTTGGACCTTGTTTTCTCTGGGAATGTTTTCATAGTTCAGAGGAGACTAAGTAGTTGAGAAGCTGAATTGTGTTTTTAACAATTTCACACAGCTTTGTAGACAGATATTGAACTCTTGGGATTGTCAAAGGTGGGACAGGTGAAGGGTAGAGGCTAGAGTGTCTCATAGATGGGACTCTGAATGCCTGAACCATTGAAGAATGGACCTGAAAAGGTCCATCATTAAGACTGGACTAGCTCCACTTGTGTACTGAAGAGATCCCTCATTGCTAGTGCCAACAAGCACTTGATGGAATTAAATATAAACCCTCTGTGGACAAGGACAATGTTAATTAAGACCACAAAATACTTCTTGAAACAATTTTGCAAATATAACATCCAGCATGCAATAAGAAATAGCCAAACATCAAAGGAGATAAGATGTATGATTAAAAACCATAACAAAAGACTGTAGAAATATATCTAAAGAGGCACCAGATATTAGGGTTAGCAGAAAACAACTCTAAAATAATCATATTTGCTATAAACAAGATGAAAGACATGATTAAGACTTGAAATTCAAGAACTCAGAAATAAGAACTTGTGGATAGGCTTCACAGCAGATTAGATATAGAAATTTAGAGAGCCAGAAGAGAGATCAGAGAATGTCCTCCAGACTGGAACTTGGAGAGAATACAAAGGTAGAAAGCACTGAAGGGAGAATAAATGATGTTTGAGGGTTCAATGATAAGTCCTTGTTTAAGGTTGTGACATGAGATGCTGGCACAGGGGGTGGGGTACGAGGCACGGAACTAACCTTGCAGAGTCTTTTAGGAAAGCCATGGTGTTGGCAGGCTCACTGCCTCTCTCATCTGCAGGCCGGGGAAACGCGCATGCCCGAGGGGCGGGGCCTCCCCTGTGACGTGACCCTTACGTCGTAACCTGACGCACTGTGCCGCCATTGCTCCTTCTGAAGTGCCTCACTTCAGGCTGTGCGGTAGCCATTTTGGTCGCTCGTGTTGAAGCACCACAGTTGAGCAAAAGTTCTAGAGCGAGAGCGTTGCAGATTTGTGGTACCATGCCGTCCTTGCCGCTTCAGGTGGCGGTGGTCTGCTCTAGCAACCAGAATCGGAGCATGGAGGCACACCACATCCTCAGCAAGCGAGGTTTCAATGTCCGTTCCTTTGGAACAGGATCTCACGTGAAGCTTCCAGGTCCAGCACCCAACAAGCCAAATGTTTATGATTTCAGAACCACATATGATCAGATGTACAACGATCTTATTAAGAAAGACAAAGATTTCTATACGAAGAATGGCATTTTGCATATGTTGGACAGAAATAAAAGAATCAAGCCCGGTCCAGAAAGGTTCCAAAATTGTAAAGAGCCGTTCGATCTGATCCTCACTTGTGAAGAGCGAGTCTATGACCAGGTGGTAGAAGAGCTGAATTCCAGAGAGCAGGAGACCTGCCAACCCGTGCATGTGGTCAATGTGGATATACAAGACAACTATGAAGAGGCCACCCTCGGGGCATTCCTCATCTGTGAGCTCTGCCAGTGTATCCAGCACACTGATGACATGGATGATGAGATTGAAGAGCTGCTGCAGGAGTTCGAAGAGAAAAGCGGCAAGGCTTTTCTGCACACCGTCTGCTTCTACTGAAGAAGGCTGCCTCCCGCCCTCCGAAGCCATCTGGAGCTTCATTTTATTAGTACTTTTGCCTTCCTGATACTTGCTTAGTTTCCTGCCTGATACTTTTAGGCATTTTGACATTGGACAGAGTATCACCCTGATCAACCTCAACTGCATATGAAATGAAATATATGAATACCAGGCTTGAAATAAAACATCTTCTATCCCACTTTTACAGATAAGTGGGATGTCAGTTATAAATGTGTTCTTTCAAAAAAGAAAAAAAAAGTTGATGGTTAATTTCCTCCAACATACGTACTCTTAAACTGTGCCTGCCTTTCCCTTTCCTATTTCCCTGGCCAGAGTGTACGAGCACCTGGAGAAAAGTAGCAAGGTGTATCTTATTGGAAAAACTTGGAATTGTTCAATAAATAAATGTTGCTGGTTGTCAAGAAAGCTTGTTTACATTTAATTTGAGTTTTAGAAGGAGAAAAGAGAAATAATATGAGTAATATTTAAAGATAGAGTGGCTAAGAATTTTCCAAAATTAACTTTAAAAATCATTTTAAAGGGTTTATGAACCCTAGGAAGAAGGAAGGTGAGATTTGGAATATCAATACTTTCTCAGTCTATTCAGCTGAAATTTGGTGTGTAGACATATTAAAATATCTATAGTGGTATTGATATTCAGGGTGAGACCCTAGAAGCACAAATAGGGATGTGGGGCCATTTCCTTGAAGAACCCAAAAGCAGGAAAGGGCAATACATGAGTACTTAGAAGGGGTCAGGAGTCCAATTTGGAGAGCTGAGCTTAATATTTGTTACATTTTTGGATCTTAAATTTCTCTCAGAGGCCATGTGTTTAAAGGCTTGGTCACCAGCCTGTGGCACTACTGGAGATAGTGGAACCTTTAAGAGGTGGGGCCTGATGGAAGGATGTTAGGTCACTAGGGACATGCCCTTGCAAGGGATATTGGGACCAGAAATTGCTTCTCTCTCCCAGCCCCACTTCCTGCTGCCATGAGGTGAGCAGTTTTGCTCTTCTATGCACCCCCCACTATGATGTTTGGCCTCACCCCAGTCCAAAAACAACAGAGCCCAGTGACCATAGGTCACTCCTTTTAAGTTGATTATCCTAGGTATTTTGTCACAGCAATGGAAAGCTAATGCAATAACCAAGTTTAAACAAATAGAAGAGAGAAAGCAGAAGGAAAACATTCTACAGGTTGGGACCTAGACAGAACTTAAAACTTAAAACCAGAGCTAAGCAAGGCTATAAGATTCCATCCACAACATCTGAGTATCTGAGGCGAATGGCTTAATTTGGCTTAAAGGCATAGTACTAGGGTGGATGATCAAAGGCTTCAGAGGGGCAAATAACTTGATACTAAATATCTCTTACAAAGATAATTCTCTAATCAATGTGAAAGGTGAACTAGAGAAGTTGTGATGGTTATGATCTCAGGACTGGAGATTAGACAGACTTGAGCACAAACCCTAAATTACTTTAACTAACTCTGTCTCCTGGGGCATGCTGTATAATCTCTCTAGACTTCAGTTTTCTCATCTTTAAATTGGGCATCTTCACTGGATTCTTTTGAAATAAGTGTGATAATGCTTGGCCAAGTGCCTGCCATGCAGTGAGCTTGCAGTAAGCACACTGTGAGCACTGATTGGGGCTCTTCTGAGGAGAAACCAAAGGCAGCAAGATTGACCAAAATGGTACTGAGATGGTCTAAGGAAACCTAGGGAGGTCAATACATGGGCTTGTCAATAGCTGTAAGAATGAGGAGGGGGGATATGTATCAGGGCTTGAGGCCACAGATTCAGTGTACCTGAGGGAGTTAGTGGGGGTAGGGGGAGGATAGGAACAGTGAAATAACCCAGAGAAAGAACAAAAGAATTTCTCCAACTCATCCTAGGCACATACTTCATGTACAGGTGGGTGCAGCTGAATGAGCACTGTGCCCAGAGACAGACCTGATGAAACAAATGCCTGTGTGTGCAAAGATCCATATAATTTTCAGAACTGAAGTGGCCCACTGTATTCCAATATTCTTTTTTTTTTTTTGATGCCAGAGATTGAACCCAGAGGCACTTTGTCACTGAGCCATATCTCCAGCCTTATTTATTTATTTATTTATTTAGAGACAGGGTCTGGCTAAGTTGCTCAGTGCCTCACTAAGTTCCTGAGGCTAATTTGAACTTGTGATCCTCCTGCCTCAGCCTCCCAAGCCAGTGGGATTATAGGCATGTGCCACTGCTCCTGGCTGTATTCCAATATTCTGCAAAAGTGTAGAAGCTCAGTGTGAACTTTGGCCAGAGGCAAATAGCTCTTTTTTTGGTCAGTCATACCATGACACTCAACAATTTGCACAAAGGTCAGAAGGCTGTTAATTTCTCATAGAACTGAAGAAACAATTAAAAATATTAATGGAAAACTTAATTGTTTAATTAATCTACTCTCCCTTTCCATATGGCCACTTCTTCAACTATCCTAATACTTATGAGTAACAGCTCATAAGAGATGCTGCTTATGTTCTCAGCCCAAGCAAGCTGTCTTGCAAAAGAGGTTAAGAATAGATTGCAACTCCCTCTGAAGTCTCTGTTTTCTACTTTTGCTGTTTTCAATTAGACAGAAGGAGTCAGTTTTATCAAAGGATTTTCTGAGGCTCCAATTTCTCTGACAAGAAGTGTGAAGGCCAAATGGCCCACTAGGGTAGATTTCAATCAGTGGACATCACCAGTAGATGGCTTGCCTTAGTTATTTTTGGTTACTATAGTTCCAACACTGAAAGAACCAGGCAGAGGGCAGGAAGAGGTGACAAATGAAGAGATGGGAAAGAGGAACAGAGAAATAAAACCTTCTAATGTGCTAGAGCACATTAGAGGTCTCGTAACAAAAATCCTGTTTCCCTCAGTTTAGCCTCTCCACTGTCAGTTTGCCCATCAGCTCGCTGTAAGAAAAAACAGTTTAATAGACAAAGTGATTTGTGGTCCCCTCATCTGCTTGCATCTCCTGAATCATAACCCGCTTCTCTAATATAGAACCCCCATTGCCCTCATGCTGTTCGTCTCCCTTGCCATCAGACTGAATGTGATCCTATTCTAGAATCTAGATTTTGACTTTCCTTTCTCAGCTTTTCCCCATAGAACCTGATCAAATATGCATGTTCACTCTACAAGGCCTAGAAAGAGGTTACCCACATTGGCATGTTCAGAAAAGTATGGAACTCATAAGAGTCACTTTCAAGTAACTGTATCTAGATTCTACCAGAAAGAAGGGTACCTTGAAGGAGTTGCAACAATTTAAATAGACACAATCATCTGATGCTTTTGTTCTCAACTACAGCTAAATTCAGGGCTAATTCAGATTGATTTCAGTTTTTGATTCTGTGTATGGACAACTACTTGGGGGCTTGTTTGGGAAAGGAACTATGACCATCTGGTTCACCATCATACTCACACACAATTCTCCCCCCACAACACCTGTGTGACACATAGAATTCCACATTTGTTCCCCAGACAAAATGAGACAGAGCACATGATTGCTCATATGTTGATTTTTCTCATACTGATCCCAGAGATGGTAAAAAACACTTTTCCATTCTAATAGCAGTCCTTGAAATACCAGTTTTAATATTTTCTGGGGATTGTGTAAACATTCAATAATTAATTCTCATAATACCTTGTAGAATTAGTTATGCTTATGAAAGTTTCATGGATAAAGAAACCGTGTTGAAATTCCGGTTTAAGATCAAGGGAGAAGCAATCAGATGGAAATTGCTGAAAGCTAGATTCAGGCCACCCCATGCTTAAAGATAATCAATCAAAGACAGATGGTGAAGATTCTGAATGGCTATTTTCTAATTGGAAGTCCTCAACTAAGTACTTAACACATTTGTCTTTTTTCTAACAAGATATAATTTGATAAGAGGGGAAAATAGTTGACTTTTTATTGGCCTATCATATTCTACACTCAAGTGTTCCACTCATCCCAGTCAAAGACATAGTCATTTTCCCAGTGAGTCAAGGTCATTATGGCTTTCTTCCTCCTCCCATTCACAGCCACCCATCAGCAAGTACAATCATGTCCGCCTCCTAGATCCAATTTAGTTCATTACTGCTACCACTGCAGCACTAGCCCTTGCCTGGAAAAATGAAATAGCCTCTTAAATATTCTTCCTGCAGTCATTCTTACTTACTTCCAACCTATACTCCCCTGATTAGTAAAACTTTGATGCTTTTTATAAACACAAAGCAGTTGTCATATCTCTGACTCTCATTATGTTTCAAATAAAACCAAAACTCTCTATCAAGTCCTATAAGGCTTTGCATTTTCTAGTTACTTTTTGACCTTAAATACTTTCATTCTTTTCCTTGATTTTATACTCCAGCCATTGCATTGCAGTCACCTTATTATTCTTTAAACATGATGAATTTTTTTTCTCAGAGTCTTTGTATTCACTTATTACTGACCATTGTATTAGTGTTGCTAGCATAATTATTAATACAACAGGTATTCATTGAGCCAGCTAATCTCCGTAGAATGAAAGCAGAAAACTACTTTTTTCTTCTTATTACTGTTCTTTTGTCAAATGACTTCTTCCTCAGGCTTGAATGAATATACTGGACTGATCCCATAGTTTAATTAATGACTTTCAGATATGAAAAAGTCCAGGAAAATCTAAAGTTGTGGTTCTCAACAGGTAAGATACCACTCATTGCAAGGGAGGTAAATAAATGGAAATTCTTGGGACATTTTTGGTTGCTGCCCTGACTGGGAGTGACATTCAATGGCATTGGGTAGACAAAGTCCACAGATACCAGGTCAGTAAGAGAACACTTGTTTCTGGTAGCAAATGATTTTTTAATGTCTTTTTGGACACTTATGTATACATAAAACATATAAATACAAATTATTTTTGCCTTGGTTTACTACACACTAAGTTTTCCAAAATTGAGAACACTGGATATATCAAAGGATAACTGCAAACTGGTTTTGCTCAGAACTTTGCCAAGTGTTGTTCACCATTTCAGAAAATCATTTCATGAACAGACACAATATTTGTATCATATAAATTACCAATATGACTGTCAAATTACTCATTAGTAGGTGTTGTTGTTGTAGCAATTCTATGTGTATATATAGGAATACACTTAATCCTTATTCAAATGGTTAAATAGAAGGAAAAGGACTTAATTGAACTCATTTGAATACTGTTCTTTATAAGTAGCTGCAAGCATTTGATTAATT